AATAGCCGAAGGGTTCGCTCCTACACTTGGAGAGTGTGAATAGCCGAAGGGTTTGCTGCCTACACTTGGAGAGTGTGAATGGCCGAAAGGTTCACTGCTTACACTTGGAGAGTGTGAACAGCCGAAGGGTTCTCTTCCCACATTAAGAGAGTGTGAAAGGATGACGGTTCTCTACCAACACTGGGGATTGTGCAAAAGGACGACGGTTCTCTGCCGCACCGGGTGGTGGTGAAAAGAGTGTTTTGTAAAGGCTTCTTCTCCTTGCTGAGGGTGCAAAAGGAGAGTAACTATTGGTATTAGTGCAATACTCAGAGGGTGCCTCTGGGGAGTGGATGTAGTCTGGTTTAGACCGAACCAACTATAAATCTGTGTCATTTACTTTACTGTTTTTTACTTTTGCGCATTTTATTTTTAGACTTTAAAAACTTGTGGTTGAAAAATGCTTTCTACAAAAAACTTAAAAGAAAATTTTCATTTCGGTTTAACTCATTTTAAAAAAAGTGATATCTTATGTGATTTACAGATTGAGAGTTATAAGGAGCTGAAGATTAATTGAAAGTTATAAGGAGTAGGGGCGACTGATTCACATGATTTAAGGGAAATTATAAGGAGCGATTGATTGTAATTCATAAGTACAGGAGCAAGATACCCTTAAGATACACTCATTGAATATCTAAATATTGATATCGACACTACTACAAACACTATATTGATATTGTGACTGACACTAATATTGTTTACTATCATTAATACTATTTAACGTTATTAATTGTGATACTAATATTATTACTGGCATTAGGACTATTGATTGTTACTGATACTATGATTGATAATGTAATGAATTGAGATGTGATAAACTATAAAAGGATAAATTGATGTAGATAATCAATATAAATATTGATGCATATATTTCTGTATATGATTTAAAGTATATTTTTCTTCTTTTATCTTGCATTCATTTTAGTTGTAATATTTTAATAACTTGTTGGGCTATATGCTCATTATGTGATTTTATGATATGAGGCTTCGAAAAACATACATATTTTTTTACCTACAGTTAAGACAAAATGCAATCATGTTTATTTTTGTTTTTCATTTGTAAGCTTTAGTTAAATGATTAAAATGAAAGACATATATAATTCTTTCAATATAGATCCTAGAACGTGGCAATAATATCCTCATCTATTCCACCATCATTTTGAACAATAGACCAGAGATATCTAAATTGTGTACTTTTATTAGTGACCCTCACCCAAACTCATAATCCCCAACTAAATCTATTAGTACTAAAATTACTTTCCATGGATTCAATTTTAGATCTACTCAAACAAAAACCTTTAGACTCTAAGGTTGACCTCCATAATTCAAACTTTTCTTTAACTCCCTCTCTACTCTTATCAACATAAAGAATATCATCAGCAATAAGCATACATCAGGTACATCATATTGTAAATCTCTGGTACGAACATCCAAGACTAAATTAACAAAGATAAATGCTTAAAGTTGATCCTTGATGTAATTCAACGGAAATAAGAAAAAACTTGGTCAAACCACTGTGTTTGAACACAAGTAACAGCTCCTGCAAACATACCCTTAATGACTTGAATATAAGCATTATTAACTCTCTTCTATTCTAAAACTCTCAAGAGCACTTCTCTTGGAACTTTATCATATATTTTCTCTAAATAATATATATCATATGTAGTTTCTCTTTATACTCTCTATACTTTTCCATCAAACATCTCAATAAATGTATAGCTTTCATTGTAGAGTGTAGACCCACCTGAGATTAATCCAAATTGATTTCGAGTAACATTAGTATCACGTCGTAACCCATGCGGAATAACTCTCTCCCATAGTTTTAATGTATGACACATTAACTTAATTTATCTATAATTCACACACTCTTGTACAACATTGCAATTGCTAGGTCCCAAGCCCTGGATGAGAAAAATGGAGGGTTGCGTTAAGTAGTCAATTGCAAGCATAAAACTTACTGAATAATCATGACATTTGGTTGCATCGTAAGAAGGCATAAATAATTGAATTTACATGAGAAATGTGATGAAATGCATTTTTGTTGTTGATAATTTTGGATATGCCTCTGAGGTGGTATGTGAATGGTTGACAAGAAGGCAAACTCTAAGTAGTAGACGATTAGGAGGTCATGAAGGTTTGTTTGGCATTTGATTTGTGGCAGTGGCAATAGCTTTTGTTAGAGGCCATTTGTGAGCCCTTGATGTTGATGAGCTATAGTTGGGTGAATGATGGCAATGTGAGGATATGTCAAAGGTTAAGTACTTCAGAATTGGCAGTAATATAGTATTAGAGAAGGCAATTGGGAGGTTTTCAAGGAAGTTTTATTTTGTTTGGGTCTTATTGTATAAAATAAAAGTTTAAGATGATATCATAATATATATTATTATATTTATTATTTTAGGCTTTTGTTATTACTGCTTACTTTGGTGTGAGTAGAAAAAAATAAGAAGAAGAGGGGTAGAGCAAAAGTCCAAGAGCGAAAATATAGAAAGCAATATTGCTATCATGTAATCATCTCTAACCTAGTGGAAAATTGTATATTTTTGTGTCACCATGGACGTAGGCTTTCCCAAGCCACAAGAATCCTCATCTCCCTTTTTTTTGGTGTGTTTAATTTTCATTCTCATCTTCATTAGTTTTCTTGCTTGTTTTATAAAACAATTGATTTTAGAGCTAGGCTGTGAGTTCTTAAGGAAATGGTTAGAGTAATGGCTATTACGAATGAAAATGTGGATAATGATAAGTTCAATGTAAATGACTTAAATACAAAAATATATGGAGTTCGTGTTCTTAGCTGTTGATTTTGAGATGGCAATAAGAAAAAAATTGTCAATAGTTGAATGTTATTTTTATTGAATTTGTCATGTATAAGGGCAATTCTAGCAATGCAAAGTAACATGTCTCCATAGGATAGCATGTTAAGATTGAGATATTTGAAGATGATGTGTTAGTAGGTTGTCAAGTGATTGAGAATAACAAGAACAGGCAAAGCCGAGCATGTTTGTGACTAAGTTGAAAAGATCCTAATGGATTCTTAAACCAAGCTTCTAAATGATACAAACAATTTTTCAAGACTAATGGGGATCACCTTATCAAATGTAGAAAGCGAGGGTATAAATGAATATGACATGTTTACTATTGATAGACTGCATTAGAGAACTTGAAGTCTTGGCTATAGATGATTGAGGTGTCATGGTGATATAACTCTCTCACGATAATATGTCAAATCTAATCTTTAAGAGGGAGATTATTGATATGTGGAGAATAATTTCTGAAAAGTTTGTTTAATATTAGTTTTTAGGATAATTGTTTGTAGAAAATTCCTCCCAAATTTTCTTTAGATTTTTCATCAAAATCAGGTTTAAATATTTTTGTTAATTTTAAATTTCCATTTTAAGGCAAATTTTGTTTTGATTGTAGCTGAAGTCCTCAACAAATTTGCTGTGATCAATTGCTGCTTAAGCATTATTTGAACATATGAGTTAAGGTGTTGAAGAATTTTAGTCTTAAGGTGATTACTTTGAGAAAATAAATGAGCTTTCTTTATTTTTTTTAATTATTAATATAAAATATATCACATTTTACTATTTTCTATTAGAGAGATTATATGATAAAATATAAATATATCATAAAAGAAACTTTGCAATAATAATAGAAAAACAAACACCATTAGTATTTAAAGAAATGTTTTATCAGATGAACGTTCATTTATCCTTTTCAATTGTATCATGTTTTGCCAACATTATTATTGCCTTCAAAATTTCAAAAAACATACATTGAAAATAAAGAGCAATTGTTAACCCTAAATTTAGTCAATGGGAGATTTAACAAATCTTATAGAAGTTGAAGTCAAAGTTGAAGCCAAAGTTCTAGTTGAATTTGAGCAATAGTGTTGAGGGTCTCACTTGTGTGTTGTAATGAAAGCTAGTGCTCGTCGAAGTTGAAGCCATGCCTTGCTTGCTTGTGTGTTGAAGTCGCGCATAGGGAAGCTGACATCATTAAAGTGAAGCAGGTTTTGTAGTTAGAATCGCTCACTCGTTCGACTTTCATCCCCCAATATATCTTGCATGTCCCATCTGCGTTCAACCCATTTCAAAAGAGAATTTTACTCATAGATGAACTCAACACAGTTTTGAACATATTAAGGCATTTCAGAGTCGTGTTTGACACATGTTTGCCATGGATACAAAGGCAATTTAGAAGTATCTATACTTTCTTTGAGGAAATGCTTAGGGTAAAATCCTTACGAACTAATTGTAGTATAATATAAGAGCTTGAGGTTGGTAGGTTTTTATGGAAAGTTCACTATTTTTTTGGTATTCCTGGAATAAAATAAAAAATTGTCAGATTAATAATATAACGGTAATTGGCTATTATAATATTTATATTTTAGGCTTTGGTTGTTGTTTACTAGAAATTCCAAGAGAGGAAATGCTATAGAGAAAATATTGAGAGCAATATTTGTATTATGTACTTATCTTTGTTTTAGTTGAAAAACCTTTCTGTGCGGCTGTAGATGTCGGTACAATTCATGCTAATTTGCTTTTCTGCCTACAAATATTGAGATTCCAATCCTATATATAAATACCAAAATTCATTATTTTGTCATCTAAATAACTAAGTGAGACTAATTTAATTCCTTATTATTTTCATGATTTCTATTTATTCTTTTTCATTTTCTCTGTCATTTCCTTTAAACTAATAAGAACATAGGTAAACCATCTGCTGCTTGTTTAGAAGTGGGATTGTTTCACAATTATTTTTTTGGTGGAACAACAAACCTAAGAGATTCTTTCTATTATACTTTAACTAATAGAAGGATCTTCTATTATTAGGAGTCTCTTATGTTACGTCGATCGTTCTTGATTCTATCAAATATACCACTTTGTATTATCTTTCATTGTGTAGGTTTGTTCTATTTTTATATCAAACCTTTTTATTGTAGTGAAATTATAGCGAAATTTCACTCATTGGTTGGTCTTACGAGGTTTTATTCCAGGTAAAGGCGCAATGCTGGCTCGAGCCGCAGAAACTTCTGCTAAAACAATGTCAGGTTAGTAATTATTTAAAGCATTTGTGGGCTGGTGATCCTGATTTATATACCAATTTTAAGTATTTTGTGTGTAAATAATGGTTTGGCCCGTATTTTTCGATCTGTTATGCGACCTGATTCGACAAATTGATAATTGATTCAGGTGATTAGATAACATTTAATTGAATTTGAAGGTTATAACATTTTGTGTGTATTATCTATATTCATTTTAGGGGGAAGTTTTTAGCTGTGGATTCATAATATGACAATAAATAGCCTTATGTAATATCCAAGAGATAGAAATAGTGTTGCTCATATTAAGCTCAAGTCAGTTCAGATGGTTAAGAGATGTTAATCTCATAGGTTAATCAGATTTGATTAGATTAATCAATGGCTACATATGAGTTCTTTATATATTTGAAAAGTTTTTATTCATTTCTCATGTAATTAATTAAACAGAGATAATTATCATGTCTTTTTGTTCTATGCTTATTAGATCATATATTTACCTTTATATATATATTGCGTCCGGAAGTATTCGCGGCGGTAGAGAAATATAAAGTTTTACGTCTTAGCAGTGTACGAAAATCCAGCACGCAATCAGATAAGAGAGAGTGTGTGTAACATTTAGAAGATACCAAGGTTTTTACGTGGAAACCCCTGAAAGGGGGAAAAATCATAGGGCTTGGTGCAGTATGAATGAATCCACTAGTATTGTAATTGATTACAAAGGAGGTCTTTCCTCAGGGGAGTATATATAGATGAGTATAATCATATTATTTTTCATTAAATATCCTAAATTTTATTGTTAATAAGTTATAATTTTTTTAACCAAAATAGGTTAATGGGTTGGGTTTGAGTTGATATTTTTGGCTCATTTATTAAACGGGTTGGGTTTGGACTTTGGATTGTTTAGATTCGAGTTAGGTCAACTTTAGGTTGGATCCCAATCTGACTCATCAATACGTTTTAGCACCCTTAACCAATGGACAAGTTTGGGCATAACAAATACTATCATTGTAATTATTTTTAAAAATTGGATGGTGCATAATAATTTATTTAAAATATTATTTCAATCTAAAAATCATTTTTTGTGAATGAGACTGTTTTAAAAGGATAAAATCGATAATCTATTATGTTATTTTAAATGTCATATTAAAGTAAATCATTAATATTTATAATTTGTTTAATTAAAAATCATTTTTACTGATTAAAATGTTATATTTTGAATTAGAACTATACTTAAAGTTGTATTTTATTTTAATGTCAAGAATTGTCAAATTTAATTTTATGATTAATATGAATCCTTTATTAATTGTGAGAGGAAAATAATTTTCAATTAATTATTAAAAAAGATATGCGGCATATTAATTAGTTAATTATATTTTAAAGGTTACATACATACCACTTAAAAGCTCTTTGCCTTTCTAAAATATCACTCCATTTTCACTCCGTGAAAACCCATTCGATCGTTGGCTCCTTCGATTGCCAAGTTCCCTTTTTTATTAATAATTAAAGACAATCACATCGCAAGGCAAAATTAACAGGTCTACATCCAAACATCAACAGAAGAAATTCTCTCATCTCTTGCAAATCCCTTCACCAAACACAAAAGATCTCACAGTAACATGGATCTCCAAGCAAAGGAAATAAACAGAGCTCTTCACTTAGCAAACAGGGCAAATGATATAAGAGAAGCGAACTGAGTAGAGGAGCTCCGGTGAAAACTCAACACTTCGTTCGCCGTTGCTTCTCCTAGGTTCGCGAAATGAAACCCGAATATTTCCGTCTAGGATTTTCAATGATTTTTTTTAGTTATATGTAAGAATATCGATTTGAAATTTGGATATCTTCATTTGAAACTCAGTTTAGTGTTTCGATTTCTTCATTTGTTATTTGTGATTATTTGTAATGTTCTTTGCAAGCTTTCGATTAGCCGGCCTCAAACCATAACAGAATATCAATTTCTTTTTTTGTTTTTTTTTTTGTTTTTAAGGGTCATACCTTCAGATCTCGCAAACGCCAGCCATAAACCTCCTTATTCGCTTCAGTTACTTGCACCGAACAGTTGAAACAAGAGATTGGATAGGACAGGAGGCTGTTTACCAAATCGATTTTGTTCTGTTTCAGAGGCAGAATGGACAGGAGGCTAAATGGGGGAAACGGAAGCCTTCGAAGGGAACAATGGGCCGCATTTCGACTGGAACAGAAATGCGTTTTGTTCTTCGACGGAATAGAGAAGATGAGCAAACTCCGAGGAAGATGAGTTTCACGTGCAACAAGTTGAACAGACGAGTTTTCACGGAAGATGAAATGGAGTGGCATTTTAGAAAGACAAATAGCCTTTTAGTGGTAGGTGTGTAAATAGGTAAGTTTAGATGTTAGATGTGTAAATAATATAGTTTTAAGTGTTATGTATGTAAAAACTCCTAACAAAATATGCGGTCATTTATATCAAATCGAGAGGGATATCATATCATACATCCAACTTCATCTGTTCATTTTTTTAACATAAAAATATAAAAATATCCTGATTTAATTTAATTAATATCAGAAAAAATTAAGAATTTTTAAATTTATACTATCAGATATATTACATTTAAACATAAAATTACGCAATTTTTTTAAACTCATTCTAAAGTTGTTTTTGGGGAAATCTCATTCAAAAGCCATTGCGTTGTGAATTTGTGATACAGCAGAACAAAGTCCACTCCCACGTCAGTTTTTTTACCACGAACTGTACCAAGAGCTTAATTGGTGCCACCTGGAAAAAAGTCCACGTGGAGCGCGAGGTGGACTGGAAATGTGGTGCGAGAAGGACTGCTCGCAATCCTGAAGGGAAAGTTCCAATCCTCAGAAAACGTCGCGAGGTGAGGTGAAGATCGGAAAATGTGGAGATTCCGAGCTCTCGCGCAGATCTCTAATGGCGGCTAGTCTCCGACCTTCTCGTCAGCCCCTGTTTGTTTTCTCCCCTATTTCTCTCACTTCTTTCACTCGTCTTAAAAACTGTTTTTTAGACTCTTATCAGTGTTCCAATTGTTGATCTGTGTTCCTTTTTCCGTAGATCCGTTACTCCGAAGTCCAAATCTCCCGATCATAATAATACATCCCAGAAATCTGGCGAACCCCAAGATCCTCTGATGTTTTTCTAGCCACTCTATTCCGCCATGGGCCGCCTCGGTCTCCAGAACCTTGGCATAAACCCAATCCTGGAAGAATCCCTCGCCGATGACGGAGGCAACCGATTATTCCCATTGCCGGAGTTGGCGGAATCCTCGTCCTCCTCTTGTGGTCATGCGATGGCCTGCATGTTAAACTCAGAGGTCAGCGCCGTCCTCGCCGTGATGCGTCGCAACGTCCGGTGGGGAGGCCGCTACGCCTCTGCTGGTGATGACCACCTGGATCACTCCCTCATCCAATCCTTCAAATTCCTTCGCCGCCAGCTCTTCAACTGGGACCCCAATCGATGGAGTTCCATCGAGCCGACTCTCTACCTCCGTCCTTTCCTCGACGTCATCCGCTCCGATGAAACCGGCGCACCGATTACCGGTGTTGCCCTTTCTTCTATACACAAAATTCTCTCCTTCGAGATGTTCGACGCTGAATCTGCCCACGTTGAGGAGGCGATGAACGCTATCGTGGATGCGGTGACAAGCTGCCGGTTTGAGGTAACCGATCCGGTCTCTGAGGAAGCGGTGTTGGTGAAGATATTACAGTCGTTGCTTGCGTGCATGAGGTGCCGGGCTTGTAAAGTTTTGAGCAACCAGCATGTTTGTACCATTGTGAACACTTGCTTTAGGGTTGTTAATCAGGCGGGGACAAAGGGTGAGCTTTTGCAGAGGATATCCCGCCATACGATGCATGAGCTTGTCCGGTGCATCTTCTCTCATTTGCCGGAAGTCAGTGAAAGAACTTTCAAGGCTTCATCTAATGCGGAGGTACTTGTTCTTGGTTGCCTAATTGGATAAAGAAAGCATTTTTGTTGAGCTTGAAATGATACTCTATGGGTTTTGTTTCATGGAAGTTCTTGCAAATGTATGAAATAGTTATTTCAGTCAATCACTTCATCTAGAACTGCTTTTACAGAGTTTTGTTGTGTTATTATGTTAGGACGAGCTTATTTTATATCTTATATGTAATAAGATAGATGTCAGATGCAAAGTTGTTTGTGCTAAAGACTAAGGCCTTATAGCACAAATGGGTTGAGATGAGAGATTTGCCAGAGAATCGTATAGTAAGTTCAATTTGATAGAGTTAGCCAAAAGTACAAGGCGATGTCATGTGTCCATGTCTAAACCTTAATCTTTTATTATGGGTGTAGACTAAAGCCAGTGGTGTAGGAATGACTAGATGATGAAGTATAGAAAAAAAAAGTACATAAGTGAACACAGCATAGTTGATTGTGTAGTGGGTTAGTCTTGTTAAGTGTTTTCCAACAAGTGTAAACTTAAGACAAGTAACGTAGCTGAGGTTGAGTTCTTTTAATGAGTACTGGTGTGGTGAACTGGCGAATTTTATTGATCGGCCCTTTGTTAGCTCTTGCATGTACTCTTCCATGAGTTGTTGAGATCCAATCCTAAGCATCTTTAGGTCTTTGGGAAAGTTCTGAGTTAATTTTTGGCGAAAAATTGGTTGAATGGGGTTTAGGAGGAAATGAATTCATTAACCTGGCCAATATAAATATGGTTGTATATTTAGTTTTTTTTTTTATTCTCGTGCTTTTTTTCCTTTTTGAGAAATTAAGAAGAATAGAAGAATGAATTCAACACAATTTGGTTTTTGTGACTCAGATTTAATTTTGAATGTTGACTTTATCTAAAGCTCAACTTATCAGCATGTGGCTGACGTGACATCAGAAAATGTCTATAAATATAAAGGTTGGAGTTTATTGCAAAGGTTTTCATTAATTATCCTTTTATTATTGTTCTATTGATTGCTGAATTGCTCTTGATTTTCTTAGTTCTTTGCAAGAATGAAGAAGTTTGATCTTCTTTCAAGTGTTGAAAATTTTGAAGAATTCAAGGCGCATAGAGAATCATTTGGTGAATCTTCATTTGCAGGGCTTTTCCATTGAAGAATGTGAATTTAGAACCCTTATAAGAAGCTGAATGTGGTTGAAAGCTAGTTCCTTTACCAAGTGAGTTGGTTCCCATGGAGGTTCCACAATTAGAGGTGATGGCTACTATCAGAGAAGCTGTCATGGACATAGTGGTGGTTATTGCACGTTTTAGCACCTCGATAATAATTTTGAATATAGGCCCATCTAAGTTGGTTAGTGGTTCTCGAGCAGGTCACTAGATTTCATAAGCCAAATGAGAAGTGTTCATTGGTGCAAATAGACTTATACTAGCAGTGAGGACAAAATAACCAAGTCTTAACTAATGAAAGAATAAGGGATGAGTTATGTTGAGTATTGTCTTACTTTCTTAAGAGAAGGTTGCTGAGGAAGTCATTGGTGATGTTGATATTACCGATGATAAAGATATTTTCATGAGGAGCTCTCCGATGAATCAAACTGAGGTTGGTGAGATGAATAACCTTGCTATTAAGGTTGCTTGCTATTAAGGTTGCTGATGATGGTAGAGTGAGGAATTGTGTTTTGCAAGTTTTGATTTTGAGTGGCAAGGAGACTAGTTAGGAACTTAGGATCTTGCTAAGAGAGTAGGTAATGAGGTGAGAAGTTGTGGCAAGGTCTTTGATAGATGAATTGAAGATAATGATCCAAGTTAGTAAATTTAATGAATTATGGAGGTGGTCTTATTGAAGGAGATAATGATAACTCTTCAAGCCAAATTTTATGAAGATGATTAAATCATGATTGTAGCGGTATACTAATCACCCTTTTGTTCATCTTAATGAATTTTCTAAGAATAGTGAAAATGAAGTCGACAAGATAAAGTTGTAGCTTGTTTTAATTAGGTAATTTAAAAAAAATGATGAATGAAATTTTTTTGTTTGTGCCAAGTTTATGTTGTATTAGTTAACCTGCAGCAACAAGGCTCCTTATAATGATCTGGTTTCTTACAGTAGTCATACTAAGGCCTTTCCCATTTCTAATGATCTCCACATTACTATTAGATGATTGGATTACAAGGGAAAATGCATCTGATGTTGATACAAGTTGTTCCTTATATTCCATCATCACTTTTTTGTTTACTTTCTTCACGCTTAACCTCTGAGAATGTCTTTCTAATATTTGGTAGTGTTTTAGTGCCCAAGATTCGATCTCGAACATCATCCAACTTCTTGTCAAGTCATAAGAAAAATTTAAACAATTTTTTTTGTTTCACAATCTGCTTCTACATTAGTGCATCTTTTGGACATGTCCATAAGTGAGTTTTGAATAAGTCAAGTTGTTTTCAATACCGTATGGGTGTGTTATAATACTGAGTAACAGACTGGTCTCCTTGGTGAAAGTCATGAACTATTTATTCAGCCTGAAATAGCTCTGTTGTATTTTTCAGAGCTGGAGTTAGTCTCTTTGGCTACATCCCATATTTTTGTTGCAGTCCCAAACAACAAATTTTTTTTACCTATGTCATTGTTCATGGAATTGATAAGTCATGACATGATCATGCTATTTGCAATCTTCCACTTTATGAAACCCAATTTGTAATCTTTGGCATGGTTGCTACTCCTGTGAAATACTCATCATTTCCCTTACCACAAATGAACAATAACATAGATTGTGACCACTGCAAATAATTATGCCCATTTAATTTGTGTCTTGTGATGAGAATAGGAGAAGAATCACTGCCACCAAGGTTTTAAATTTCTAATCTGCTTCCTAATTATGGAGCTGTGATGCCAGATGTTTGTGATGAGGCCATTTCATATTGCAAAGAAGAAGATGGGGGAGAAGAAATAATAAGGTTGCTAGAAATATATAAGGTAGGGACGGACACTGGCTAGAGAGAATTGGCTTGAGAAACAGAGAAGAGATGGCCAAAAAGAATCTTGCAGAGAGAGTCGGTCTGAAGGGATTAGGGCTCAGAGAACTAGCTCTGATTCCATGAAGAATTTTTTAATTGATTAATCATCTTCTTTGTTCGAAAAAGATACTATATATATATATATATATACTTAAAAAAATGTCTAATAAAGGAAATAACTAACTAGCATAATTCTTTACTAAAATTTAGTAAAAATAATTATAGGAGAACTTCTTTCGTGAAAATTATGAAATGGAATAATTGGATAAGATCACAATTGATCTCTTCTTTTATTCCTAAAAATTAGGGAACAGTATGCTTCACCGTGTGGAAATTTGTCACCTCACCTTCTATGTTGCAAGCAAGTATACATATTTTTATTATAAATTTCATTATTAAGAGAATATAAATGATGGAAATAATAAGAAAAAAAGATGATCAGCCGTTTTAGTAAAGAAAAATTTTCTTTTAATGCCTTCTATGAAAGTTGAGACATTCAAAACAATAAAGGGGGAGGAAGCAACAACGTTGTTGAGGGATGATCTGTCTGAGAAGGATGCTTCCTTGACAAGGCTGCCAATTAGTTGGAGAAGATGCATCAAGATCTAGTCACTCCAAGATTTGACTGTGAGTTTAAGCACTTGATGTAGAAAGAGGGGGAGGGGGTAATAAAAAAATTAAATATATGAAATTCAATTTCAGATTTCCCTTAATTAAGGGATTTGAATTTGAAATTCAAATAAGATTAAGGGAAGGATAAATAGGTGATTAATTATTCTCCTAATTGGATTCCTTAATAAGGAAGGAAATAATTAAAATAAGGGAGAGATGGGGCCAGCCATATGGGGAGGGAGGAGAAATGCCCATATACAATGTTTGTGGACCATAACATTAAATGTGATGGAGTAATTAAATCTGAAATTGATTTCAGATTTGAGAGATTTGAGGGGTTTCTTAAATGAGTGTTGATTTAATTAGAAAGTTTTTTTAATTCAAATTATTTTGAATTTGAATTCAAATTCTTTCCAAATAACAAGAGGCTAAATAAAAAATAAATAAAAAAACAAAAACAATAAAAAAATAAAAAAAATAAAAAAGGAAATATTTAATGGGGATTTAATTTGGGATCTAATGAGAGGTGAGAGGGGGGCCGGTGGTTAAGGAAGGATATAATGGGTGTAATTAATGAGGAGAGGGGAATTGGGAGGGAATTTAAAACTTCCTAAATCATGCTTCTAAATTAGGAAAAGGGTAATTAAATCAAATCTAATTTAAAATCAAATTAGACTTAAATTTAGGAACTTTTCTAATTTAGCTTAGTTAATTTTATGAAAGTATTTGAAATTCAAATTTGAATTTCAAATATATTTAATTCTTACCCCAAATTAGATAGGCTAATTTTGGTAGGTATTAATGATGATTGAAATCATCATTAAGAGGAAAAAAGGGATGGGGGTGGCCAGCGGCTAGGAGGATTGGAGGAGGTGGGGTGGCCGACTAGGAGGTGGTGGTGGTGGGGTTATGGCTGGCGGTTGATATGGATAAATTGGAGGAGGCTTGTGACTTTGGAGGGATTTGTGGGAGAATCGGCCGGTGGCAATTGGGGGATTTTGGCCGGCGGTCATGGGAGGAGGAGAAAAGGAATTAGGAAAAGAAAGATACAACCGTGAGCCCGGACACATCCTGCAGCTGACGGGTAATACGTTGCCCTTCTGCAAGGGACTTCAAGCCACGAGTCCAGACCAATCCTGCGGCTGGTGGAAACTTCGATTCCCTCCCATAGGAATCTCACCCAAGTTCTCTCCAAAAAACACAAGTGCAAACAAATTTTATTTTCTTAATAATTCATCATTACATTACACAAGCAAGGGCCTCTATATATAGGCCTAAGAAACTAAAACAAGACACATATGCCCCCAGGGCTTACATAGGATGACCCTTTTAAGTAAGGATAAAAAGGAAAAATTCATAATAAAAATAAAAATTACAAATAACAAATTAAGATA